AGACCTGAAGCCTGGTGACGACCTGAAGCCTTGAAGACCTGAAGCCTAGTGACGACCTGAAGCCTTGAAGACCTGAAGCCTGCTTACAACCTGAAGCCTTGAAGACCTGAAGCCTAGTGACGACCTGAAGCCTTGAAGACCTGAAGCCTAGTGACGACCTGAAGCCTTGAAGACCTGAAGCCTCTTCGTGTCTTCGCATGTCTTCGCGTATCTTCGTGTCTTCGTGTCTTCGCGTGTCTTCGTGCCTTCGCGTATTTTCGTGTCTTTGTATCTTCGTGTCTTCGTGTCTTCGCGTGTCTTCATGTCTTCGCGCAAAAGTCACAACCCGCTTCTGCCAACGCAATGAAAATGATGGAAAATGGTCCAAGGAGTGCATTGTTCACTTCTTTTCGTACCCAGATCCCAGTGATCTACATCACCCTTCCTCAGCACGCTGCAGTGCACGTGTGCAAGTCTGCCAGCGAGAAAGCATCGCGGCACAGTGCGCCAGCGATAGGTTCATGCTTGCAAGTGAGGCGTTCCTCTCCTGTTGGCGGGACTCCTGAGTCACGGATGTCAAGAAATGTCAGCAGAAGGTCGCCATTTTGCTTCAACTGTGCTGCAGGGATCTAAATGATGGCCGTTGATTCAAACTGATGTCCTCGTTCTCCGGCACTATGGTTGGATCGTGGAAGAATTTGCAGTTCACACCCTGCGCAAAACAAGGCAAGCCAAAAGCTTGGTCCATCTCATTAGACCCTCTTCAAGAGGTAAGGATGCCTCTAATGAAACCCAGAATGTGTATCCAAGTTTCTCTGAATGATGCTTCAATTGAAGAGCTGTTGTTGGGATACTTTCCACACTCTGATCTGACAGCCCTTGTGCGTGCCTTGCTACACCTTCCAGCTGCCCAGAAGATACACGCATCTTTCTTCTGCTTAGCCGGCGCTGGCTCCCACGAGTTGGCAGCTTCTGGGAGCTTCCTTTCAGTGTGCAGTTTTCAACATCATTCACACCGAACCGGAACCGCGGAAGCCTGGGTCTGGAGGCCCAGATCCGCGGGGGGGAGCCGAAATCCCCCCCCCTAGTAGCTTCTTGTTCCTAGTAACGTAGTAAGGCCAGGAGCTACTAGTAGCGTCCTTGCTCCTAGTAGCGATGCCCTTGTTCCTAGTCGCTGCTTCTTACGCGTGCCGAATTTCAGGCTTTCCATCTGTTTCGTCGAGGTGCGCCAAGCTCTTCAGCTCCTTGAAGCATAGCCCTTGGCTCAGCAGCTGGGCCATCAATCGGAGGCTGGTATCATCCGGCACAATCTGCCAGCTCTTCATCTTTTCAAAGACTTCCCGAGCCAAGGGTACGTGTCCGCGATGTAAACAGCCTGCAGCCGATGCCCGAGGCGCCTTTGAGGCAGCCAATGCAATGTGCAGTGTGCACACGGTGGCGCACATCTTGGGCACGTCATGTTATATAGCTCTTTGCTTGATGCTCTTCCATGCCACATGCTGACAGCCCTTTTAACGAAGTAAGGACGACTGAAATGAGGGACTCCAAATACGAGGACACGTACCTCGAAACCCAAGGAATAGCTGAACATTAGCTGAACACACGCTCGTCCCCTCCGTCCAATCTGTCTCTGTCTGACAGAATGCATGACTCATGTGTCTGTCACCCCTGCCCTCGGCACAAACAACCCACAAGAAGGATCAAGAAGGATTGTTAAATCACCCCCCTGCCTCGGAAGAAGGTATTGATGGCCCTGGCATCTGGACTGATACCCTCAGCCACCATCTCATCCAGCAAGCCATGTGCCCGATCCAACTGGCCTGCCAGGCTATAGCCTCTGAGGAGGATCGTGAAAATGCCTGCACAGCTTGGACTCTAAGATCCGACGGCAGTGCACTTGGGTTGCCCCGCACCCTTGAATTCGAAAAGCTGTGAGGTTGGCAAACAGCGACCATGTGTGCACTGGTTTGTCCTGCGGTATGCTTACGACAGACTTGGTTTGGATGTGCTACGAGTTAGTTGCAGCAGCACAAGGAAAGCAAAAGCGACTCACCGCATCCTTATCGTGCGCTTTTTCTGCAATCGTTACGGCAAGTGTCAAATCTTGCAGCAATCCTACGAACATCAAAGCGGCTTGTGTTCCCAAACCATACATGTGTATATACCCCAGTGAAAGGACATGAATTTAGAGCGCTGCTGAGTTGCTGACGTTCGGTCGCACACCCTTCTTGCGCATGGACTTCAGAACCCGCAAGGCCCCACGCAAGTCGCCACTGCGAACGTGCACGTTGATGAGGCTCGAGAAAGTGTAAACGCTGGGCTCTAGACCTTCCTGCCTGGTTGGTCGGGCTGGTGCCAACTGGTGCGGGTAAACCACCTCAGCCCTGGATAGACAGATTTGGGGGGATTCAGGAACAGTGACAGCCCGTCAAACCTAGCAAATCGAGGTTCATCATGGTTCATCCAAGTTGCTCGAACTGTTTAAACAACTCCACGGCCTTTTTCAGCTGCTTCTCCCTCGCAAGATTTGCAATTTCCTTGGTGAGGGCCTGGCCGAGGATCATCTGTTCTCTACTCCGTAATGCAGACTCTTGATTATAAAACCCCTCCAATTTGGATTACGTAAGAGTCTACAGTGGTCAATATTGACATCAAAATGCCCTGCAACACCTGTGCTTGCAGTGGCCAGCCGGTGGAGAAGACTTATAAAATAGACTTCGGCAAAATATTAACAAAATACTGAGAAGAAACTTACAAAGCATACAAACACCAAATCAGTGCTCCTGCTACAGCGAATCAACACGCTCGCACACGTGCCTGCGCGCGGGAGTTGTCCTTCGCAGTACGGCCTTTCCAAAAAAGAATGCTACACCCACATGCTCAGCTACCTGCAAAGTAGGCATTTATCTGTTTGCACCTCAAATAATCTTGACTGTTTGATACTGTTTCTGTACCTTTGCAATGAACAGTGGCAAACGTCGGAGAACGTCGCCTGATCCCCCAGAGCAAAGCCCGCCTCCTTTGCCTTTGCCCTTGACTTGTGGTCTAGAGCGCCAAACCTGCGGCATTGCGCCATCCTCCAGGCACCAAACCTGGCCCTAACTGGCCTTGACGTTGATTAGATTTGAAGTACGACTTGAAGTCTATGGGTCTATAAGCACTAAAGCCGTCTTGATTTGTGCATCGTGGGCTTCTCAACATGTCAGGTGGAAGACATCTTGAGCAAGATCCCCCACTCTTAAAAAGCAGGCACAAGTTACACCAGATGTGAGCCACACGGCTGCCGGCAAGGCGTCTACATTGAATGGCAAGTGGGCGTGACAGCAGAAGACATCATAGGCCCATGAGCCATGAAGATGTTTAAAGTTTAAGATGGATTTCAATCTGTGGCCCATGCCCTCCAGAGCTGCCTTCAAGGTTGATTCAACCGCCAGCAAGCCTCAATTAGACACACTTGCGGCTGCGCAAGCTCTCCATGGTTCACATGCACAACAGGGCGGCAAAAGCCAGAAAGACTCCATTTCTCCTCTTTACACGCCAAATTGCTTTCAGCCTTATCTGCTGCTGCTTATGTGCCCTCAGGTGAATAATCCATAGCGGCATAGCGAGTGATCCAAACGAAGGACGCAAAGGCACCGACATCCAGAAACTCCCATCGTTTCCCTAGAGTCTAAGTCTAGCTCAAGGGGGAGGAATATGGGGTAAATACCCAATGTATACCCGGTCTTGGCCGATTCCAATTGCAGCTCGAACGAATCCTTGCGTTGAGCTCCGGGTGCTTCAGTTGCCTTGAATTTTTTAAAGGACACTTCGAACCGCTCCAGTCGCAGGTCGAATCCACTTGTCGGCCAGGCGTTCAAATCGAAACAAACTCTCAAGAACCTGTTGAGTTCTTGAAAAGGCTTCAGAGTGCAATGGCTTGCGATGCTAAAGGCAGGCTTGTACACTGGGAGAGCATAGCAAGCCCATGGAGCAGAATGACCAGAATGCTCCATTGTGAGTGAGGAAGGACACAAATTCAATTCTACCAATGGGTCATAATTTATTTTAAAATGGTTTCATGCATTCGGCACAGTGCTAAAACAAGGGAGAAAGAGGAATCCGTGGAACACTTGCAGCTGAGAGTTTTCGCAACAACATGATGTGCCACGGTTGCATGTGGCACGTGTCACCAAGTATTATGACACTTTGGCGACCGGGAGTTTTCCGAGCACATGCAGTCTCAGTCTTCACCTGTGTCGGACTTCAGAAGGATGAAGTGAAGACGCTTTTCCAAGATGCTGATGCAAAAGTCAGACCATTCTCAGTCCAGAAGTCCAGTCTCGGATCTGAGAGCCTGGTGATGCCTTCTGACTCTTCGCAAAGGTCTAAGGCTAGGATAGGAGGGCATTTTGCTTCACAGTTGGACAACCATTGGTGAGTGCATTGGTTGAACAGTTCGAAGTATTGTGTACAGTTTGTTTTGGCTTGCATCCATCGTTGAGGAGGTGGTGCACTGAATGAAGGTTTGGGCTGGTTGCTGAGTGCTCCAGGTTGCCCAAAACAAGGCCATTCAGGCGCCAACCAGTTAGCATAGAAACATCGTGGGCTGGGGGGTGGTGCTGGTGCTGGTGAGAGGGCTGGGCACACAGCAACCAGGTCATCATTTGGCTCAGGCAAAGCTGGAGAGCAGCTCTATCGAGCCCATGCAGCTCAGACTGTTTATTCCAAAATGTACAAAGTCTTCTTGGTCTGTTTACAGGTTTAGACACAACGACAAGTCCAACGTAGCACTCTGTCGCTCCCGACGTGTCACTTCAGTCTGTTGCTCCTCCAAGTCTTGCGCCTCAGCGAACTTCAGACGGGTTCTTTTTGGAGGGGTGGGCCGCATGGAAGTTCCCTCGAGCACATGAGGCGCCTTCAATTTGGACCCCAAAATTTCGGAAATCTCTGCAACATCCTCACTCTTGGGCCTAGGGCCGCTTCTGTCTCCTTCAACATGGCTCGTCCAGCTTTTGTGTTGGCCTTGGCTTGGTCGTTGCATCCCATGCAAAGTTCGTGAAGGGAGCGATTGGGCCTCCTCCATCTGAGAGGTCAATTCCTGGATCTCCAAGTGGTGCTGGGTCTCCAACCTGGGAGGATGGGGAGGCTTGGGTTGGCAGATGGACAGGCTCATACAGCCTCTACAGGAACCGTCAGGTACAGAATTAAGCTTGGAGATGTCTTGATTCTCCTGGCTTCATCCATCTTGATCCAAAGTACCCCGCTATAACATATTAATAATTTAATTAAGATGAATTAAGGTCAGAGTCACTAGGCGGTTCTTCATACCTGATCCATCACTCTCAGCCCATGCTCAGGGGTTCGGGCGAGGCATATGCATCCTTCATCTGCGCGAGCTCCAGCTCCAGGTCCTCGGGCCCGGTCGCACCCGTCGCCGTTCGGCGGCGCGGCCGCTCGAGCGGAGAGCGGATCGATGTGCCACGGCTACAGTAGGTCTGGGGGTTTGGTGGTGTTCGCTCTCGGCTCGGGCTGATTTCGCTCTCTCAGGTCCTGAACCTGGACTTGGCGCGCAGACACCTGGACGTCGATTCCGAAGATTGGTGTCGTGCTGCTGCTACAAGTGTGCAGTTCTCCCCTGCTCTTCGCACTTCGCACGGACTTTAGGACCAATCGCAAGGCGAAGTTTCATTTCCCCAGCCGTTCCGGCTGGAAGATACTCCCCTCGCGAGCTTCGGCCGAAGTCAAAGCTTGGCAGGCGAATCCGCGAAGCTTTCCGAATCGGCACATCTTTGGTGCCCGTATTCTCTCTCATGACATCACCCGAGAGAGAGAGAGAGAGAATCACCATTTACCAATTGCTCACCTTCACAGCGGAAGCTAAACGCCAGCTCTCATCATCGGGTCTCTCAAGCGTACTGCTCCATCAAGAAATCGTACCTCGGCTGAATGATTCTGATCGATAAGCTTCGCCATGCTTCTCCTGTGCCTTAAAGCTGTGATCAGAACTAAACGACTCTCTGGACTCTCCTAATGCTTTGCGCATGGACCCCAAACCTGGACCCCAGAACGGTTACTCCACCCTCCTCCTCGAATTCACCCGTCACCCGTCACCCTCAGCCCGTCCGGAAGGGCTCAAGTGGGCCAAGCATCAACGGTTGCATCTCATTCTTCTTCGCAGAGATCTTGCAGGTCTGGATTGGGCATGGCGAGTGCTCCTCTGCAGTGAAACAAGGTGGCTTAATGCCTTTTCTACCTTGCGAAACATATCATATATAGGCATCTTTTGTAGCTAGGCCTTAGGCTTGGCAGTTTTCCGGATGTCAACTTGTCAACTGATCTCGAATTATCACCCCACTCGTCCCAACTTCTGTGCTCAACAGGCTTATCTGGCTCTGTTGTCGAACATTCATTGTTGGCAATGCTTTGGAGACTCAAGGTCCATCAGCTTGAACTTCTCACCGTCAATGCCCAAATAGCCTGGAATTGAGACGAGGAACACTTGCAAAGAATCAACTGCTCTGGAACACTTTGGAGTAGTCCAACCAATAGCTCTGCGGTTCAACATCACCAGCCATTTCCTATCTACCGTCATCTATCATCATTCCAAAAGGCTGCCATGAGCACCACAGCTACATACCCGTATGCCGTATGACTCACAAAACTCACCTCAATCAAGATTCAAGCTGGCTGAGCAATCCCTTCTTATAAAACAGTTGCATCAATAATGTCTATATATCTATATATATATACATACCGTTACGTACATACTCATATTAGACATATTTACTTTAGAACAAGCAAAAGACTGGAGGCGCACCTGCACAACAATGGGCCCTTCCTTCACACTCCAAGGAGCTGTCTGCTTGATCTTGTCCTTCCAGCGTGGCCCCCCGCGACACACGCATCTGCTCGATTTCCCGCTCGATTTCTTCCACCTCCGGACAAAGATCTATGGCACCAGCGGTTTTAAAACCAATCAGCCAACACTCCACCACCATGGTTCGGCTATTCCAATGCACTCGTCTGAAATCGTATGAAATCTTCATTAATAAGTTGAATTCATGACTGCCCAGTGCCAGTAATTCCAATTGGTCGACATCCTTCATATTAATGTGATATCCGCTTCATATCAAGGTGCCTACTAAAACCCATACTTTGCATATCTTTGCATGTGACCCTTACCAAGGTTAATTGATGTCGCGTTCCATTCATTACAGTAAGTCAAGTGAAAGCAAATGGAGTCTCAAACGTGGCTTAAACCATGTGGAACATTGGAACACTGCTATGAGCAATGGTCAATTGCATATTCATAAGATCTTTGTGTTTGACTATCTTGGCTAATTAAGAATGTGAGAGCATTTAGCGTGTTGCTTGTGATCGCTGTGTTTGCTTTACTGTGGGGCCTCCTGTGCTGGTGCGAAAATTGACTTGAAGGTACTGGGACCTTCAAGTGTGGGACATGGCCCCCACACTTAGTTTAGGAGAACTTGACCAAACGAAACAACTACTGTAGTAGTATGTCCAAGCGATTCATGTAACAAACATGAAGCGGCTTGGCTAAGCTCCTGGCAATGAACTTTTCGGATCGAGCTGAGCCAAGGTCACTCTTGTTGCAAGCTATCAGGATTGGAGTGTGCAACTCCAGCATGTCCTCAGCATTTGGTCCACTTTCTGCCGTTCGAAACACAGGTCCAGCCAGGGTCAGGACAGGGTGTGTCAAGAGCTCGTAGAAATGCTCCGCCACATCCTCCGCAGAGTCTTGGCAAGTTCTTTTGAGTTCTCTGCTCACTCAACACTTTGCATTCCAAAAGCATGCTTGGCACTGCAAAAAGAAAGCTGTGTGGTGCGTAGCATCATGTACAGTACGAGCACTGGAGCACTGGCTTTGTTCGGTTATAGTTATATAATAAGAAGCGTGGTGCGTAGCATCATGTACGAGCACGGGTTTTTTCTTTTGGCTGCTTGGCCCTCCTTCAGCTTCGGTTTGTCCTCCGAATCCACCAAGTAGATGATGCACCGAGCCTCCCGAAGGGAACCCCCCCCATGTCGTGATCCGGATCTTCACATCACCTCTCTCCTGTCTCTCCCGGAATCGCTCCCTAAAGTACCCGACTATTTGACCATGCCCCGTGAGATATGATCTCTATTGATCTCAAAGATCGCTCAAGTGAATCGACTTCCCTCCCATCTCCCAAGCCGAAGCCAGTTTTTCCGAAAACCGTGCCTCGGGCAGCATGTCACTCGCCTTTCCCCTCATCCGAAGATGCCCAGGGAAGTCCACCACCTTATTGTGCGGTCGTTCTTTCAAGGAATTGAAGAGGAAAACCTGGATTCCTCAACAAGGAATCATCAAAAGATTCGAAATCAGAACCCAAAGATGAAAACCTCAAAGCCCAAGCTCCACACCTCAACGGATGGCAAGTTCTGGTCGGCATTCTCGCCAGCTTTGATGGGGAATTTGTCTCGTGAAAGCTGTAGGGACGAGACCGTCTGCACCTGAAAGCATGGACATCATGATTCATCAGGGCCAGCACACAACTTTAAACCAATGGAATTCCTAAGCACGGATCCTGCCGCTCCCGCATCAAAAACTCAAGACTGCCTTGTGGTGTGACTCAAGGTGTAGAAGTGTAGAACAGGAGCGGCACTCCGTGCCGTGCCTCCTCACCATCGCGAAGCCGAAAGAACGTCGCTGTCTTGCCCGCTCCGCACTGACCTCACGGATCGAGCAAGAAATCCAAGCCGTGATGAATTGACATTTGGATACATTTGGATGCACTGGTGTGAGCACCGTGTGGCGCCAACTCTGACAATAATGGGCTGCCCCACCCAGCATCAGAGTCACATTCCCTCGCGAACGGCGCGTGCGAAGCGTGCCCCCCCGAGGCCACCTGTTGCACAGCATCCACCGGAAATGCGTACGCTGCACAGAAGCGAGCGCCGTGCCTGAAAGATCTGCACAGTGATATAGACACTGAGAAGGATCACGAGCCATGTGAGGACCTGACTGGAAACCGTCACCCTCCGTCACCTCCCTCGTTCCAAAATCAATGAAGAACCATGAGCCCTGGTTGATCTTGTTGCTCCAAGATGCTAAGGCCGTGCTGGATCCAACTCCCAGGAAGGACTCGATGCTTCCAGATGCTTGGCGGATCGTCTCCATGGCACCGGCGGATCGGATGCGGTCGACGCCTCAAAAACCGGCCCCAACAGGGGCCCTTGTTTTTCGTGGCCGCCTGGGCCACCAACAGCTCGGGCGCAGCGAACGCCGGTTCTGAAGGACTCTGGACAGGCACACGCGACGCTGGAAGCCATCACTCTTTTGGCTCTTGGTGTCTGGATTCAAAGTGACACTATCCGACTACAATAAATACAATATGATACAATAGCAACCAGGAAGGAACCAAAACAAGGGGCTTCAGCCCAACCAAATCCGTCGTATCCAGCTAGAAAAATCTCATGTTCGCCCACCCGATCTCAATGGCAGCTGTGCTGTGCCTCTTCAGTCAGTGCGCGAAGCTCGTCCTGGTGAAGTTCCGACCTTGGAAGGTTCTACGATCCTCGCGATGAACTGAAAGCAGTGGTGCGTCCCAGCACACTCAGGACCCTACTAGCGATGGCCTCCAACCTACTAGCGACGGCCTCCAACCGAATAGGCTAATAGGAATGGCCTTCAAGTTGAAGGAACCTGATACCCAGCCGTTTGCACCTCAGGACAGCCCTTCCGCGCATGCTATTGTGGGAAGGCTAGGTATCGTTAGCATTGTTAGGTGTAAGTCCACCATGGTGCATAATTATATACATGTATCCAAATTTATCTATTAAAACATACACCGAAAGTACATTTTATTCCACACAGGTGGGGTAACATGGCTGTTTGACCTGGGCCCCCCCCAAAAAAAAAAGCAACACAAATCATTCTGTGCTCCGGACTCATCTTGCAACGAGCCACCTGGGCCCAAGTAGCATCGATGCGAATCAAGGTTTCAGTTTCAGTTGGCTGATAAATCCTGCATGCACCTTGCCGCACCGAGTGCCCATCCCAAGCTTTCATGTTTGTCGTCATCATCGGGTGGCCATGCTGCTTTGGGGCAGAGTCTTTGCCGGTGAATTGAGGTCGCTCCCTGAATCGCACCACTTTTGGAAACTGGTTCGAAGAAGTCAAATCACGGCTACGAGATGCTGCGAGCCCTTCCTCGCGCTTTGTACGCACAGTCTGCGGCTATCATATGAATTCAGCCTCCGGATGCTGAATTGAGGCAAAAGCTGTTACCTCTCATCCCCGCATGTTCTAGCGCTTGCTGGTGCTGTTCCTTGGGAGTATGCAATAGAATCGAATGAACAAGTGAAATCAAAGTTCAATAATCTCAAACAAAAAGTCATAGAACATGCGCACGCCCAAGATGCCGAGCCAACCACATGACATTGAGGAATTCTGAGGTGTTGCCCAAGCTGATTCCTGCGCTGGGCCTTGGATACAGGCAGCAAACAGCTGTGACCGACAGCTGCGACCTTCCACGACCGCGAACGCGTTCAGCTGCGCCCAAGGCACGGCGCCGCATAGCGCCGCACTTGACCACCCCATTGCCCACGGAAGGTCCGACCTGCGACCAGCTTGTAGATCGACTTGGCGTACTGCTTGCGTTCCATCTGGGCGCCTGAACAAGGTGGAACACAGGAATACGTGATGCAACTCAGCAAGTGAACAACTCCAGGGCAGAAGCTGGGGAGCCCGCCACTCTGCAACTGGAAGACATCCTGGACACTAATGCCTTCCTTGCAGTCCACTTGGAAGAGCAGCTTGGCCAATGAGTTTCGATCTTCCAAGTTGTTGGGATTCTGGACCCATGACACCTCACCATTCTCCAGGATCTCAGTGACAATCGCATTGCCCTGCTTGGTTTCAAGCACGGTGTAGTAGTTGCGGGGTGCCTCCATTTGCACCTGCTTTGTGAAACAGGCCGCGAACTCTCGGGTACAAGTGCGACATGGCTACACTTCTCCACTCTCCCCATGGAGTACATTTTTACAGGGTACCCAAGGCATCGCTACTAGGAGCAAGGACGCTACTAGAGGCTCCTGGCATTCATACTAGGAGCAAGTAGCGGCAAATAGCGGCAAAGCAATCTTCAGCCTAAAGAAGTTGCTGGCCTCATGCTCCATGGCCTCCACGAAAATCTTGCACCTTGCCAGCATCTCCTTTTTGAGTGCATCGGCCTTGATGGTCTTGCCATCCCAGCTGGCAGCACCACTGGAGAAGACCACGCAAACGGTCTCCGGCCCCTCTGCCTCTTGAATGGTGCGCACCTGCACGTTGAGAGAAGCCCTCCTATTACCACAACTACATGCCCAAGAGTCCAAGAGCAAAAGGAAAGCAGAGCTGCGAAAGTCAAACACTTAATGGAAAATAAATGTGTCGCTGTCAGTCCGTCCTCCCTAGAAACTGCATTGAGCATGTTGCACCTCCAGGCTTCCGATCTTGTAGATGCGGAAAGCGACACCATCTTCGGTGATCTTGTTAAACTCTGGAGCTGCCATTGGGAGGATATCATTCAACAAGGTCTGCTCAAAGCTAGCATCTACTTCCAGCTTTGCGAGTCCAAACTTGGTGGGGGTCGTCTTGGAGATGTGGCCATCCGTCTCCACCTGAAAGCGGGACGTCCAGGTCCTTGGGAACTCGGGACCTGGATTCGCCATGGAGAAGGTCTTCTCGGCAAAGCGAAGCTTGCGCCGTCCACGCGTGGAGTCCTCCTCACCGACCAGGTTTCGCACTTTGGTGACATACTCCATGTTGGGATCAGGTGGAATGAAGCTGTCACCCTCCTGTGTGCGGTCACATTGAGGCACATTGTAGAGGTTCACAAGGAGCTTTTGATCTTCTTCCTTCATGCCCGGCCATGACTGCTGCTGCAAGCTCTGCAGAAAAGCTTTTCCCAGCAGAGTGCGAGCTTCCAAGGACTCCGGGCCACCACTGCAAGGAGGGAGACGGCCAACGAAGCGCTCCTCCGTTGAAAGGGAGAACTTGTCCAAGTTCAGATCCACACCTTGTGGCATCTCAGCACGTTGCCCCAGCTGAAAGCGTTGTGGCATGAACAATGGTCGGCCCGACTGGGCCAATGGAACGCCAGGCTTCTGCTGGCCTTGCAATGCATGACGCTGAGCAAGCTCAAACCGGTCCAAGCCAAACTCCACACCACCATAGATCGCTTGCAAGTTGCTCTGGCCACCAGTGATGACATCTACGAGCTTGCCGTTTCTCAGCTGGATACGCGAGTTGCCTCGCATGTTCCAAAGCTGCGGGATCTCCGGGTACGCCTCAGGTTCCGTGGCTTTGACAATCTCATCGGCAATCTGGTACCATGTTGGGTCAAGTCTGGCCTTGGAATCGATCAAGTACTTGGCCATGACAGATGCTTTGGCAAGCTCACGCAGGTGGAACACCACGCTCTTGCGCTCGGCAATGAGGTCAAAATTCCTGGTAAAGGCATCCGCAAATTTCTTCAGCGGATGTTGTGGCAAGGTCACTGCAGCATCTTCCAAGCCCTTGTGGGTGACCACTTGCTCTCTTGCTTCCACGCCCATCTTCACATGAGGAATCAAGGTGTTGTCTTCGGCCATCCGCACCTCCGCCTTCCTGACCACAAACCATTCGCGTCCTGCCCAGGCCTTGTTGGGCTTCAGCGTCATCTCGGACCAGTCGAAAACACTGAGCATCCCAACGACCTGGGCAAACTCAAAGCACAGGAATTCGGTCCTACAAGCGGAACACTCATGGTCTGGACCCGCCAAGGGCGCAATCTAGTTACCAATCCTCTTTGTCTGCTACTGGGACAACACACTGGACATTCATAAGGACCGGGCAGGCATGGAGTACTCTCCCAGTGCAAGCTCCTTAAGGAAGTAGTCAGCCTGGAACATAACATCTCCCACACTGGTGCCAGCCAGCCAGCTTGGCTCATAGACCTTCTTCTGGGGGGTCTTCTCCAAATTGTGAGGATCCACCGGGTCCAATGAAAAGAGAGGCTCCCTCTTGGCAGTCTTCCGGACCTTGAGGGCCAAGAGAAGGTATTCCAAATTGATGGCGGCAGAAGGTTCCAGGGTAGCTGCTACTTTGACGGTGCGGGACGCCTCATCCAAGACCAAGCAGCACAAACCCTGCGGTGCCGGAGTGCAGCCCATCCTCTCAGCTAGTCCAGCATTCTTGGGCACACTCTCCATGCGCCAACCGATGTCATATTCTCGGCGGTTCTTCTGTTTCTTGGCATTCTCGCGCTTGGCCCTATTGTCCTCTGCTTGCTGGCGATCCTGCATCAGGATCTGTGCCATGCATTCCGTGTGCACGCAGGTCTGCCTTCCCTCTCGGCCCTGGTAGGAGAACTCGCCCACGGGCAAGGAGCAACGAGTACACAGCGGCACTTCTTCACCCTGCAAGGCAGGGCGTCGCGTTCTTGCACGACGTGGGGATTTTTACAAAACCGATTGAAGCCTTATCATTCTTGCACCTTGTGGAAAATAAGTTGTATGTACAGTATATCAGAAACGTGCGAGTATGTTACCCATGCTTGTTGCCTTTGGTAGTTTGTTGGTGTGCAAGTCGGTCCAATGGCTGCTCAAGGTGATCGCTGGGGGCGTGGCCGGCAGCTCTGGTGTCCCAGAAGAACCCCAAAACACAAGAGGCCCGGGCACGAGTTGACAGTGTTTGCGTGCTCATGCATTGCTGCTTCATCCGTGGCTCTATTACTCGTTTCATTCGAATGGTTGGCGATCCGGAAATCCGCACTTTCTGCTTGCAAGATTGTCCTGGGCCTGGATATGTGCATGGATATGTGCACAATTGTCAACACAAAAATATAGAGTCTGTAATGTAGATGCACCCGACTAAAACCGATTGAATATACGAAAGGACCCCAGAATGTCACAGTATACCCCCAAATCGGTAGCTATTATTGTTCAGGGATTCCATCAAGAAACACTGCATTATGCTGTGGCACAGAGCCATGACTCCTCTAATTAGTGAGCCTTTAAATGTGCACACGTTCCAGCTGCAAGTATGTTGCATGTGTATCATGTGTTCTGTCATCCAGTCTTTGCCATTCCAAACCTTAGGCTCCATGGCAGTTCACTCCAGCTTGTTCGGTGCTTGTTCGGATTAATGCTCCTATTCAAACCTCACCCAATACCAAGAATTCTGCCACAGATTGGACACCTTTGTCTTTCAGTCTCGACCGTCAGCCCAACACCCATCCCGCCTCAGAATCCACTTCCCACAGGTCTTGCTTGGTGATTTTCTTCTTGGGCTTGGAAGCCAAAGCGGCTTCCAAAACCTGAGGCCACCCATTGGTCTGTATGTAGAGCAGGTCTGTGGTGAAAGTCATGCTTTCGCAACACAGCTGCCAAGGGGGTTTTCAGAATCATCTAGGCTGTTGATGAATGACACTCCTGATATGGAGAGGTCTTACAATGCAAATTGAGGGGTTTCATGAATGAACGGTCTACACGGATCTCCCAACCAATGGGTGTGGATTCTTCGCCGGACCCGTCCCCGTACAAAGCCCAGCCTCCGCCGGCACGGTGTCAGGCTTCTTGGGGGGCTGGGCCCTTGAACCATGGGAAAGCCGTGCGGTTGTAACCTGCGGAACGGATCAAATCTCACGTCTAAGCTATAAGCTCATGATATAAAGGACAATTAGGGTCTAAGTCTATTCCAACAGCCACGACTTGATTGACCCAGCAAAGCCAAACACGTCTTTTGTGTCTTTCAATGTCTGTTCCGTACTTTTTGGACAGGCCTGCGTCTGTGCCATCGCGACACTCGCCAAACTTCTCAGAGTATTGGCGGATTGCATCCTTCTCCTCCTCAACTAGTCCTTTCTCCACCTCATTCAGGATGCCCAAGGCGCTGGTACGCAAACAGTTCTGTTCAAATCTCACAGAAAACACCCGTCTTTGGGG